GGAGAGAGAGAGAGAGACGGGGAAGAGAGGAGAGAGGAAGAGAGAAAGAGGCCGTGTGCCACCACGTTGCACGGGGCAGGAGTGACTGCCGTGATGCTCTAATCGGCTTACGCAACAAGCCATCCTTATCCCCGGCCTCGGTCGCTCTCTCGTTTCCACCCCCGTTGTCCCGCCTCACTTCCCCCGGGTCCCCTGCCTATGCTCCTTATCCGCGTAGGGCCCTAAACGACGGCTATTACTTTGCGGTTGCCTCGCTCCTGTATCCTTTAAGGTTCCCGATGACGAGCGAGCGACGAAGGGGGAGCGAGAGGGAGCCGCGCGTGCATCCCTCTGGATTTTTCGCGGACAAAAGTTCAATTAAAAAGTAGCCTTTTATCGACCAAGTTGCGGGGGATGCTTCGACGCTAATATCAAATGCATATAAATTTTTCGCGACATATTTATGTAGAAAAGTAAGTACTTGTGTCGTTGCAAAATCTTTAGGTTCTTTAAGCTTGCAAGATTTTTCTTCGTGATCTTCGAAAAGTACATTTCTGATTTCGCTATATTATAATGATATACATTTTTTTTATACTTACGTTTATATTTACGTTCTTCTAAAAAACAAGATATATTTACTTATATAATATTTGTATAATAAAACTAACATTAGGATATATTTGATTCTCATATACCTTAAATACGAAACATTTTAGTCTTTATGAAATTAACTAATATATATCTTAGCGGCCATTTTCCGGTCGGGATATTCCGAGAAAAACTGTTTAATTCAAAATATTATTCCATTCATCCTAATCAGGTCAGCCAGTTATTAATAGAATTCTCTTTCGGCTACACGATTATGATCCGACGAAATACGTAGACATCTTCGGGAAGAAAAAAAAAAAAAGCGAGATTCGTCTCACGAAGATGAACGCGAATACCGTAGCAATCGCAACGTTACGCGATTAAATACTTTTACAGGGGAAGATTTTGCGGGGCTAAACGCGGGAACGGGTGGTGCGGGTCGTGTTCGTGTCGTCCTGCCCTACCTTCCATGTGTGTTTGCCGAGTGCACGGAGGGGGGGGGGGGGGGAGGGGGCCGCATTCGGTTGCCCTAGGCCAGAACGTGCATTATTGGATAGAGTTACGTTAAACATACGCGCCACGCGTTTCCTCTCGCCTCCAATGCCGGTATCCTCGGCTCACGAGCGCGTTATTCGCGCCATCGGGATATCGGATGAACCCGGATGAGTTTGTCGCCGACAAACATACGATTGTATGTCGTGTCGCCGTCGTCGTTGCCGGTGAACGTCCGCGCAACGTATCTAACCGACGGCATGCCCATCCTCCGTAATTATCGTGCAGCATCGTGTTATAATTATCCGTATATGCGCAGGAAATTAATTAACGCGCCTCTCTTCAGCGGCAGATTATCTGAGAAATGTGGGAAATGGATTTTTTCCTTCGCAGGCGGAGAGTTTAACGGAATTTATTCGTTCTAGATAGTCGTCGCACGACTCGCTTTGAAAATTAGGAAAAGGAAACTTAATATAATTTCTATTTAAGGTACTTTTTGCATAATTAAATTGTAATAAATTTGCAAAATTTTTGATTCCGATGTATTTTTTTATGAAGGACAAACAAGGAGATAATATATAAAAGATTTAAGGAGCTTGTAAGATTCTAAAGATTTATTTCAATTTGCATACATTTCAAAAGATCATCGATGTTATAATTATTCAATAATTACATGCAGGTCAAATCGGATTGAAATTCGCTATTTCAATGGATTACTTACACAACAGCGCATGTATACGTCACGTTGCATCTCCTCGAGTATAGAAACTGCGAGAGATGTCACCGATGCGATCTCTCGATGAACACTATAGCTAATCTTTTATCGTATCACAGAATCGTATTAGTCGTTTGGTTGCAATTTCAATTCGGTAGCAAGAACGGTATCTAGATTATTCGATAATTCGGTATGTACTCTTGTACGTACGCATCACATGCACGAGGAATGGCAGGAGAATTCGCATAAATGTTAATATCGGACGATCGAAGTGTATATTCGTCGACAGCATTGTCGATGAGGTACGAACTTTATTTAGAGAAAAAATTCTAGCGGAAGCAACAAGAACTCGATCGAAGAAGTTCCGACCAAGTGGATTATCAAGTATTTTCTTAGAACGATTCAATAAAAAATTGAACCTGGGCGTATCTCCTATGCATCGTTGTCTGTGTGTACTAAGCTCTGCGGACTTCTTTTCTATTATTTTTGAAATTTTCTCCTTTCCTTTATCTGGCGTTCTGACACTTACGTAGCGAGCTGTTCGACTATATAAGATTAAACCTCTATTGTTCATGCAAAAATTCTTAAAATTGAGTTTAAAAATGTATAACTGGTTTAGAGATATTTTTATATATATATATATATATATATATATATATATATATATATATATATATATAGTGTATATACTA